AATCTTAATTTTTACCTTGATATACTTAAAGATTATGCCACAACTTCATTCAAAGAAAAATGGATATTAGAGTCTTATTTTAAAAAAGAACTTTATAATGTTTCTTGGACATTAAACAATAGTCTGACAAAACAACATTTTGATGACTTGAATACAAATGAATCAGAAACATACGGATTGAATTTTCTTTGACGTATAAGTGGGTTTGAATAGAAAAGAAAAAAAGTCATTGGCAAAATTCAATCTGAGTATTGCCAAACCTAAAATGTCTGAAAACATAGGATTTTTTAAAAGACATTCTAATGAACCCAAAAATACTCTCTTTGTTTTTCCATCTCTAATTATTCTATAAACCCAAGTTTGAAAAAAGAATTAATTTACTTGGAAGGTTTAAACTATATAAAGCATCAAACAGTGGGAAATTATAGTGTTTGGAGGGAAATTCTAAGTCTTAAAAGTTCAGTTAAATTGCTATCTGTGTAATAAACTGTGTATGTATATATGTATAAGGGATAATGATACCATAGATTTATCATCAATCTTAATAAAGACCTACTAAGTCAGATAATTAATAAATTTTTTATAATTTGGTGAGCTGAAAATCTTACAATAAATTATAAAACAGACTTAAGCCTACTCATTTGCTATTTAAAAAAGAGTACTTAGGGTGCCTGGGTGGCTCAGTTGGTTAAGTGACTGCCTTTGGCTCAGGTCATGACCCTGGAGTCCCAGGATCAAGTCCTACATCGGGTTTCCTGCTCAGCGGGGAGTCTACTTTTCCCGCTGACCTACCCCCTCTCATGCTCTCTCTCGCAAATAAATAAATAAATAAAATCTTAAAAAAAAAGAGTAACTATCTAATCACAGAGATTTATTAACCACCATGAGAGAACGCTTAAGAACTTTGAAACTGATTTTGCACAAGTGGATCCAACCACTTGTCTGGAATTTCCAGATTTGACCGTTAAGAAGCAGCAGTGTTTCTTTTTGGTTAGCCTGCTCATATGTTTGCTTTATTTTCTTGAAACAAACATGTGGATCTTGGAGAATTATTCTGTATGAAAAAAGAAAATCAATAGAATATCCTTAAACTCTCCTGCCAAATCCACAGCAGTTCATTTGTCAAATTTCTAAAAAAAGTACTTCATAAACTGGTATTTTTCTTCAGTTCCCTCTTAGGAATCATCATGCAATTTTTGATTTCAGCAATGTTTTGATTTCTAAAATACAAACTTCAGCCTCTTTCCTTTTTTTTTTTTTCAGGAGCAGGATAATCAAAATTTAATAATATACATCATTGATTTTCTCACCTTACGACTGAACCCGTTTTAACTACTATACTGTGAGTTGGGTACAAAATTCTGCCCCTGTGTTACACCAAACAGATTTGGTTAATAATCACCCAAAAGTTACAGTTTGGAATGTTTTCTAGCAGTAACGTGTTCAGTGGTAGGTGATGTATAAAAGTCTTTTAAATCGAAAACTCATTCAGTGATGATTCAATACGCATTTTTAATGCCTACCCACAACTTGCATTATGCCAAGCACAGAGGGCGCGACTGTGAAGGAGCAATACACATCCTATGACCTCGTGAAACTGACATTCATTCAAACATGTAATCACGATGGTGTTGCTGTGATTGAGTAAAGCAGCAGGTCTGGTTCTTTTATGACGTGTGATCAAGCAACAAGAATATATTATACATAAGTGAGATTTCATTTTCCCTCTATGATTTGCCTCCAAATCACTTTCCTAATAGCATCTGCAGTCATATTTTAGACGTGAAAGTTGCTCTAGCCGACTCTGAACTATTGACTTTTTCCAGACTATACCATGCCATTTTGCCATTCTCTGCATTTAGTCTCATTATTTCATCATCCAGGAATGGATTCCCTCTTCCTGATCTCACCACCACTCCACAACTATCTCTCTTCTCATCTCCATTTTTTAAAAATATCTTACTCAACTGACCTGGCTTAAAAGTTACCTGAATCACAGACCTTTAGGCTCTGTCCCATTTGGAATTAACCCTCTCTCTTCCATTTTCCTGGAGTGTCTTGAGGATACCACTATTTTTAGCATTTAGGGCACTTTACTTTTGCTAAAATTAGCTACCTATGTCTGTCTCTAAGATTATATTGCCCTTTAACATGTCTTCCCTGTATAGGTACTCAGTAATTTTATGTCAAACAAATGGATAAGTAGATAATCAACAAATGGATGTATGCAGAATTGGCTTTGTCTGCTCTGTTTGAAGCAATATCACAATATCATGTTGAGAACATCAGCAGTAGCAATGAATGAAGCAATAATAAGCTGAAGCATCTGGTTATCCATATTTACAGAGAAATGTCACAAGTAGATTCTCCATGAGGTTGCAGTTAATAAAACTAAGGTGCCAGGGGAGGTCACTTTATTTCTCAAGACCAAATATGCTCCAGCTCTGTTGAAAATCTGTTTTAAGTATTGCTGAAATGCACAAAGCCAGCTTGCCTAACATATTTAACCATTTTAATATTTTCATATCAGACAATATTAAAGAGATAAAGAAAAGCAACAAAGGCTGTAGACAACCTAACACTTAAATAAAGGATTGGGAAGCCTTTGAAAAAAAGTGAAATACTTATTTTAGGTTCAAAAGCAAACACAAAACCCCCCATAAATAATACCAAAATAATTTAAAGTCAAATTAATATATAAGAGAAATAAATCAGGGGAAAGGAACTCCAAAATATAACATATTCTTAGGAAGAGATGAAAAACAAGAGAGAAATTTCAGAATTTTCAAGTGGGGTATGAGTGGGTAGGGAATGAAAAGGCTGATCATATTTCACAGATCTCTTGAGTTGTTTAGTTAAACATTTCAAGCATCTCCCCAAGGAGAAGACTGGGAGAAGTACACACCACTAATTTAATTTTTCTTGTTTGGGCCACATACCAGGGAAGAAACGACTGCTCACCCCCACAGTACTGATTTCCCAGTCACATTTCTGACCACAAATGTACAGTAGTTTGACATTGTAAGAATTCTTGCAAGATTATTTAAATATGGGCTTTTCTCTGTCTTCCTTTATAATGCTTGAACTCTGAAAATCCTTAATGGTAATCTCAAAGTCATAATTGGAAAATAGCTTACAATTCAAAATATTTGAATTGTTCATAAAAAAATTAAAATTCAGCATTGTAATTGAAATCTATGGAAGTCTAGATGTAGTGGGAAAATGTCTGAAACTCATCAATAACACCAAGAACTCTTTTTCTAGGTCAAGATCTGAAGCATGAAGCTTTCACTAGATGAACTCTGTAATAAATTTAATTTGTAGCTGTCAACCTCATTTCATATATGCAATCCTTGGAGTACCAACGTTGGTTATAGTATTATTCTTACACTGTAAATCTGGTTATAGAGGTAAAACAATGCTACTGTGAGGTCCTATTGCTTATAGCAATAAACCCCTTTGCAAGAAACCCAAGTCAGACCCAACTTCTACTTAACTCTGTCTTTTTTAAACAAGGCTTTAGTGTAATACAGCAGAGGATGGAGTAAGACAAACTCTAGAGCTACTGAATGTGTCTCTTGCTTGAGCCTGCAGAAAACTCCAGGCAGTAAAGCTTAAATAAGGCACGCCCTCTAATTAATCATCCTTTTATAAACTACCTTCCCTGGGCCTGGTATTCACATTGCAGGATGTGGGGCAAGAGCACAATGGAAATCCACTAGGTCTACTTCTGAATAGATAAAAAGTACTCACAAATCATTAAATAAATTATGTTCTATACTCTTATCATGAGAAATATAATTTTAAATGATTTGAAAGTCCAGATTTGGAATTAAACTTTTTGGACTCTTTGAGTGATCAAAGGACAGCAATCTCTGAATAAACTGGCCTTGCTTCCCTGGCCTCCTGCTGGAATGTGGAAAGACCCCTTTCACCACAGTCTTGGCCCATTCTCTTCCATTTGTCTGAAATGCCTGCCCCTGACTTTTTCCCCCAATCACGTCTTCCTGATCTTTAAGACTGTAGTTCAGACTCATTCACAGTTCTACACTTCTAAATCCACTGGGCTCATCTCAGTAGGCAGTATCACCCATTCACTAATATGACTAAGTGATCACTACTCGAGACTCACTCAACTGAAAATCTCAGGGGACTGTTTCTGCACTTGCTTACCATTTTATCTCCAGCATCTAGCCAAGCACACCACACACAGGTGCTCAATGAATACTTGTGAGCACAGGAATAATTTCTGGAGCATCTTCAAAATGAAGATTTCCTAAAAACCCTTCTACCCCACAGGTGATTCTGGAGCTGTTGTCTTAGACCCAATATTGGAATATGTTAAGACCTAACAATGATATTTTCTGCAGGATTTTGTGCCTCTTTCTATCTCCATCTTCCCTTCTCCCCTTGTATTATTAGTAGCTCCTTTTCCTGTTTCCCTAGCACCACTGTATAATACTATATATAATATATTATATATATAAAGCTGTGTTCAATAATATATATATTATATATAACTGTTATTTTTAGTTATTTTGAGATATCTTTTACACATAATAATATTTATTCCAATGCACAGCTTATAAATTCTTACAAACTACATAGTTGTATAACTACCATCACAATCAGGACATAGATTCATAGCCCTTTGTATATAGCTTTCTTTTGGAGCTACTATATTACTGTAGTCCTACTTGTTTGTGCACAGGTCTTCAATACTAGATTAAAAACTTCTTTCCTTGAGAGTGAGAAACAATATCTAATTCTTCTTTACTCCTCTGTGCCTACTATAAAGTCTTAAAATAAACGTGTGTCGGGAAAATACGCTTGTAAATCAATTAACTAATTAATATATCGCACTATTCTATGGCAGGTGCTACCTTGCCCATTGTAAGTATAAAACAATCTATTCTATCTTGGTCAAATTGTATGGAAAGCTATAACTCTCAATGTGTCAAAACTAGTGTCACAAAAAATATTTGAAATTCATTGCTTACCATCTCCTGTTTCTGCACAGAGTTGTAAACCCAAGTTATTCTGTGGATTAATTACCCAATGATTGCTGGTCACAGTGATATCGAAGACAAGCCAACCCACATCTAAAGCTTGGGCCTTTCTTGTGTCTAACAGGAACAGATCTGCATCCCTACGGAGAAAAAGAACAACAAAAAAAGTTAAGAGTGTGAATGAAGATGATCATTTCCTATACTTAAGTGAAAACATTCCAAAGGCACTCTTTAAAATAACAAAAGTTAAAAAAAGTAACAAAAGTTAATTAAAGAACAAGAGGAACAAGTGACTCAAGTGATGAGTAATAAGATACAGAACGTTTTATTGTTGGGCCCACAACCCAAGTCTGGTGCAAATTAGTAATACCTGAAAGTAATTTCCATTTTCCTGCTCTTCACTGGCCCTTACAAACTGACTTAGTGATCTAGATTTGGGCTCTGATAATCAGTGTTCCCTGAAACTCCTGTCTGTAAGCAGCCCTTCCTGGCAAGTTCACTAGCAAGGATCAAACTGAGTGGAAATGGATGAGAAAGTGGCTACTCTAATTTCGATGAATGTGGACAGTCAAAGCAATGGAGCAAGGGCAGGCAAGCATCTGCTTTAGAGATAATTTTCCCTTATTTTTCATTTTCATTATACTTGTTTTTTTTTCCCATTATATAATGTATATCTTTATTTTTCATTTCATTTTCCATTTTGATTATAAAGTTACTTTACGGATAGCAGAGGCCAAGAGAGGCTCTCAAACCACACCATTGGACTAAAGGATGAATCAATCCCACGAATTGAGCAGCAGATACACCCTGACTTGCTTTAACATCAGCTATAATTACCAACGCATATGTTTGAGAATAGTCTCCACAGGGTCACTGTAATTAACATTTATCAATCTTAACTATAGCATTAAATTTCCAAATGTATGAATATTTGTTGAGTTATAGTGAACTGCTTAATTTATGATATCCTTACTACAGGCAGCCTCTGATCTAAAAGTTACATATGCCCAACATTTAATCCTTACAGCAGCTCTTCTTCAAAGGAGCATAGACATACACTATTACGTATTTTTCTGACTTTGATACTGTGCTAAATCTGTTTAAGGACATATTATTTATACGAGGAAAGGCAAAGCTATGTCATAATCACCCATGTTAAATAATATTCTGCATTGCCATCTAGCTGCATCACACAAGTCACTTCAAAGGTGGCTTACAAAATGTAAAAAGCAAATTTTGAGTAAAAACAAATTATGTATATATATATGTATATATGTACATATATATGATTTAAGAAGAAAACTCTATTATCATTGAAAGTTTAACTGTTTTAACAGAGTGAAGATTCTTAATATTTCAGAAGCTGCATCTTCATTCTCTTTATTTCAACTTAATTTATTCATTCTTTCACTAACCTAGAGAAGTTAAAATAAAGGCATTATGATTATTTAAATCATCCAGGTACCCTAATCCCATTGATGCAAATTTCATTCTCCTTCACAGCTTTAATCACAATGTTTACCAAAAGAGGGGTACAGACATCTTTTCATATCTAACATGGGACTTAGTTTGAGATACCAAAGACATATGGCAAGCATAAACTACAACGCAATGAAAATATTCCATTAGTTCTGACTTGAATTTTCAGGACCCATTCTATTCATATTAAGAAGGGATATCAGTCAAACTGTCCCTCTTCTTCCTAAGGTGGAAAACTCATCAAGTAAACAAAACTTGAGAAATACAAATTATCCTTAAATTCTTGAGATATTTGGTAAATATCTTTTGAAACTATAATATTGGAATAATTTAATCACATTATCGGGTTCTGAAACAGGAGTCACCCTGTAGCTTGGGAAATACTCAAGTGCTACCCTGCTGTCAAGCCTGCTTTCAATTTGAAATATGGCATCAATGTTCTACTGAAGTCTGCAGAGTTTATAATGCCACACTTGGCCTGAAATAAACAAACACTTGAAGAACAAAAAAGAACAAAGAGGTAAAATTTGAGAACAATTTCCACTAAGTAACAAGTATCTTTAAGTAGTTATCCAGGTAATATTTTCTATTATTTTGAGATTGTGGTATTTTTCCAGAAAAAAAAAATCCCCAAATTATCGACATCCAGGTACCCAAATTTTCAAGCATGTCTGTGAAGAAAATGGTTTCAGTTTTAATGGATATATTTAGAAAAAGTGTCAGCCAAAGGATTCAAGCAAGCCCTAAATATCTGAATTTCAGAGATACAACTTGCAATTCATCGGAAGGTTAATCTAGGCAGACGGTGTAGTTTGAAAAATCCATACATTTCTAGTTCCCCCTCTGAAAAGTTTTGAAGTTTCCATTGCTTTCATAAGCTCCATGGTTTCTATTCCTGACCAAAGCTATTTTATTTTTGACTGATAAATTCTTTTCTTTAATTTTTCCTCTCTCCTCTTCTAGAAGTTCTTCTGTATTACCCACAAGCAACAGAATACACTTTGGAAGAATGAAGTCTATTATTAATCAACACAACGGTAACAATTCTGCAATTTTCACTCATGTAGTTCCTTTCATAGAAGTCTCTTAGAAATAAATCCCTACCCATTCTGTAGAAATTTAGATGTGATTTCTTTTGAAGTACAAAATTACTCCACTAAAAATGGAACTTACATCACTAGAAATAGTAGAAATACTATGTCCAATGAACAGTATAAAATAAACCTGTTAAAGTTGTCTCATCTTACTATTTTTACCTGAAGTTTTTATAGAAATTCTGGAAATACCTAATAAAAGATATTTTAAAATATTAATTCATTTAAAAGGAATGCAGTAGAGAAAAAATAGATATGTAGCAAAATATATTTACTTGTAGCAGAAATAAATCCATAATAAAATTTCTGTATATTGTTTATAATCATAACAATGAAACTAAAATTAAAATCTACATTCTAGCAAGGGCAATAGAGTCCATTTACATGGATGTGTATAAGCAAATGTTTCACAGTGGTATTGTATTAGTTTTCTAAGGCTGCCATCACAAAGTAACATAGACTGAGTGGCTTAAATAACAGAAATTTATTGTCTCACAGTTCTGGGGGCTGGAAGTCCAAATCAAGGTGTAGGTAGGGCTGGTTCTTTTGAGAGTGATGAGGGAAGTATCTGTTCTAGACCTGTCACTGTCTCTTGTAGCTGTTCATCTTTTCCTTGTGTCTTCATATCATCTTCCCTCCGTGTGTCTCTGGGTCCAAATTTTCCCTTTTTATTAAGATGCCCTAATTGCCTTGTTTTAATTTAATTATCTCTTTAAAGACCCTATCTCCAAATAAGGTCACATGCTGAGGTCCTGGAGGCTCAGACTTCAATATATGATTTGAGGGAGAGATGTGAATGTTCCATGTTTATGTTACAACAATTATCAACATTGAAATGTTTTCAAAAACAAATATGTCAAAGTAAACTTATACTGATTAAAATAATTCATCATTACTAAAATTTGTTTTTTCTTTTTCAGAAAGAATTTGAACACTTGTCTAGACTATGATATAAATCAGCATAACAATTTCTTATATAGCTAAATGAAGTCATCATGCAAGTGTTAAGTACAGAGTTATACTTAACAGATTAAGGATTTATAGCATGCATATAGACTTCTTACATGTGAAATATATAAATATATTAAAAATAGTTACTCAAAGGTGAATAATATGTATGTGTATGTGTATACACACACACACACACACACACACACACACACACACACACACACATTTACAGTTTGGTACACATTTGCATGGAACTTACTTTAATCATGTCCAAAGGCTTAAACATGTTTAGTAATGGGAATTGGTGGACTGTAGATATTGATTAGCAAGGGTGCTTTTCATTTTACTGAGAGAGGAAAGAGTTTTGCATATGTGCCTTGGGAATCTGAAAATACCAGAAGGGTAGGAAGCATAGGTACTTTACTAAGGACTGAACAGCAGGAGCCAAAATTTAATAAGCTTTGAATTGTCATCATACTTACAACTCAAAAATATAGATTGATGGAATGAGAAAATGAAGGTTATATATTTAAGAATGTGACAAGAGAAGAGCTAAAATTTATCTTACCATCATTATGTAGATATCAGTGTAATGTAAAGATAAAAAAGGATCTGGGGATCAGACAGAGCTTGAACAATTAAGGAATTCCTGTCTCAGTTTCTACAATGTTTAAAATATACTATGGTAACCCCTCCTTAAAAAACCAAATGTAATATAATCTGAATATCTTTTATTAATCTAATTTTATTTTTTTCAGTGTTCCAAAATTCATTGTTTATGCACAAGAGGAAAATTACAGGTGAAGTTTTACTTGGTGTGTTATAACACAGATGGCTCTGAATTGTTTAATTTTGACCTGTGAAATTTGGGAAAGTTTTATTTGTGGAGTCACATTACCATCAAATGACCTGAGTCAAGATTATTTGGGGGTTCTTTGAGATGGTAGCAATAGAATTGGTTACAACTAAAGAAGAAAGGAGGAAGAACAATGATAAGGGAAGGAGCAGAAAGAATGAGGGTGGGAGCAAGAAGGAGAGGATAAGAAGGAGGCAGAGAAAAAGAAGACACACAAGGAAATTCAGTAACTCTTCCTGGGTGTGTTGTCTTGAAAAATCCAGTAATTGTCTTTGTAAGTCACTCTCTTAAAAATCACTTATATAAGCATAGAGTCAGAAATTGTTTTGTGGATATAATATCTGTCCTTCTAGAAAAGCCTAAAAATAAACAATAATAACAACAAATGTGTATGTACTGGTGCTTTTGATAACATACTACTTCCAATGCCAGCATCATACACAGATTGAAAAAAATGCTATTTTTCAGACAATACAGATGGATCTGAAGATGATGTGATTTGTAGTATTGTGACACATGACCTAAAATACTGTGATAGACATGATGTCAAACTGCATGTAAAAAGTTTAAAAGCTTTCACATATATATTTTGAGAGTAAACAAGGAATATGACTATATAAGTATTTTACACATAATTATATGAGTAAACTTTTTTGTATTATTTAACTGCATTCATTATATAGCTGTGTTTAAAATAAATCCATTATATAAATATTCAATTTCTCCAATTTTTTGGATCTTTTACTTGGGTAAAACAGAT